GCAACAAGGAAGCAGGGAAATTTGGTTTTGTTTTTTACGGGTAAGACTGGGATATAGTTAGAGGCAGAAGGGAAAGGGTCAATAGAGAGGGAAGGGTTGAAGATAGAGACTGTATCACTGTAAAGGAAAAAGGCACAGCCATGATTGGCTTTGACCAATCTTAGTTCACCTGCCAGGGCTGATGGAGTAGCCCACCATTCCTGGGCTTACTGCATCCTTTATCTGAACAATATAGGGTTTCTGAAACCAAGGAACAAAAGGAGATGGCTATTGGGAAAGCATCCAGTTGTGTCTGCCACGCCAACCCTTTCTGTGCTCAAAAGTGTCATGGCAAAATTACATCTGCAGTGATCTATATCAAAAGTTTGAAAGGCTCAGAGTTTTTTCATACTGTACATTTTAATTCAAATATCTTCTCACTCCATGTTTTTTCTTAGGCCTAATATAATTTCAGTTAAGCCTGAGTCTGTGAAGACATGCTATTTTGCTCCTCTCTATTTTTCCAGCAAACCCACCCTGGAATTTAACGGATAGTAAAGTTATGCAAAGAATCACTGTGTGCAACAAGAACTGGGACGTTTTCTGCCAAGCTCATCTCCAACACAAACATGTACTCACACCAGTCAGTGCTATACATAGAATTTGGCCTTGAATACCAACATATATTTGCCACACTGTGCAGCAAATGTGTTTTCATCTCCTAATTAAAATAGTACTAAGTGTCATTGTTCTTGAAGTCTTGGTAAAACAGAAATATAACCACGAAAAAATTTAACTATGGAGACTGTTGCCGAGATCTATTGGCAAGGCATCTTGTACCATCCCTGACTTGGGATGGAAAGTCCTGCACATAAATAATCTTCCTTCTCAAGCAATGCTCAGATCTACCATAAGGACCCAATCTAAGATGGCTAAAAACTTCTACAGAAGAAGTCTTCTATAACATCCAGCCTGACAGGGGCCTCTGACTCTTCAGCCAGTCTGGCAGGTCATGGAAATTTTGCTCTTGCAAAGGGAGCTATGGATAAAAGAGATGTATTTCTTCAGTATTTACTTTGACCAGTGAAATAGCTATGACAGACTTTTTTTTTTTTTTTCCCCTAAGACACAGAGTAACATTTTAAAAGAGAAACCACTCTTTTGGTGCTGTAAAGTCTTTAAGAAATAACATTAGAATAAAAGCTCAAAGGAATGGCCACTTAAACACAGCTGTCCAAAGCCTCATATTACAAGAAGAATTCAGCCACTTTATGCATACAGGGAAACTAGACAACTTATTCCAGCCTCTTTTCTTGGATCTACTTTTTTGATAGCATCAGATTCAAAACTAGTGGCATCCTCGTGGTTCAAGGGCTCCTGTTTTGCTGATACACAAATAGGGACCAAGGGAAGACATCCCCTTCAACCTCCTGAAGGTTCTCTGAAAAATCACCTGATAGACTCAGGTTAACATGAAGAAAAGCCATAACAAATTTTATTATATCATAGTTTTACATGGCACGGGAGCCTTCAGAATGAAGACCCAAAGATATAGGGAAAATTGTCCATGTTTATGCTCAGGTTCTATGAAGCAGGCACAACCAAGAAGTGTGATAGGGGCCGGCCTGCGGCTCACTCGGGAGAGTGCGGTGCTGATAGCACCAGGGCCACGGGTTCGGATCCCATATAGGGATGGCCGGTTTGCTCAGTGGGTGAGCGTGGTGCTACAACACCAAGTCAAGGGTTAAGATCCCCTTACTGGTCATCTTTAAAAAAAAAAAAAGAAGTGTGATAGGATAAGAAAAGTATGATCTTGGGCTGGCCGATTAGCTCATTCAATAGAGGGTGGTGCTGATAACACCAAGGTCAACGGTTCAGATCCCCTTACTGGCCAGCTGCACCCCCCCGCCCAAAAAAAAGAAATAAAAAAAGAAAAGTATGATCTAATGTTGATTGACTGAGAGGGGGAACCCAGCAAGGCCTATTTGTTCAGATTCTTTTTGGCCTCTCATGTAGCATTCATTCCTCCAGGGTATGGGGCAAGACCCTTTCTGGAATGGGGGTCTTATGACCTACCATCAGATAAGGTAGGTCAGAGAATTTCTTCATGGCCAAGACAGACAGGCAGAGGGGAAGATTAGAGTATATTTATGACCCACCCTGGGAAAGAGGGATTTTAGTTTCTGTGGCTTGCCTCAGGGGAGAATGAAGCCAAGAGGAGGGCAGAAGAAGGTCAGAAGAAAACTTTGCTTCCGAGGCCTTCGCTTTGGGGTATCACTTTCTGGGCCCCAGCAAATGCATGGCACATTGTAGCATTGCTTCCCTTCCCCCCCTTCCCCCATATTTATGCTTTGTTTTCCCACCCAGATCATGAGCTCTTTAAGATCCAGGGCCACATCTTGTGCTCCATTATTTCTTGCAGAGTTGTGTTTGTCATGGTAGACTTGCAGGAAATAGTTACTGAATGGATGAATGAATGAAAAAATGACAAAAACCAGAGAGCAGTGGTAGGTGTGTTGCTAAGCAACCTGGTAAAGAGGATTAAAAGAGTTAGGTCAGATCAGCAGGAAAGGTGGTGTAGGGGAAAGAATGCTGCATTTTGAGTCAGTAGACAGGTGTGCTAGTCCTAGGCTGTCTTGCTTGCCTTTACTCATTCAACAAACATTTCTTAAACTTCTTTTAATGAACCAGTCAGGCATTATTATTATTTTTTTTTTTTTGTCTTTTTCCGTGTCCAGCAATGGATCACAACCCTCAGTGTTGCCCCTGTACCGGACCGGGGACCGGCAACGGGATTGCAACCCTCGGTGTTGCTCCCGCGCCTCGCTCAGCCAGTGAGCGGGAACCGGTCCGTATGTGGGATCCGAACCCTCGGGCGGGAGCACCGCCGCGCTTCCCAAGCGGCGCACTATCCAGTGCGCCACCGGGCCAGCCCCCAGTCAGGCATTATGACAGGCACTGAATAAGACAAAATCCTTGCCCTCAGGATGCAGTGGTGGCAGGGATGGGGCATGTGGAGCAAGGGTTATAGGAAATGTGTATGATAGGACATATGATCATGGTGTGCATTGGGCACATGAAAACAAGGAGAAGTGCTTTCTAATTCAGACTGTGGTTTTCAGGAGAGCTGATTCAAGTCTTGAAGGAGGAGTGAGAGTTGGTTTGAGATTGGAAAATCTTTCTGTAAACGGTAGAGAGACTAGCATTTGAGAATGTTCTAAGCCATAAAATAGGATGTTGCATTTGAGAACCAAAGTCTGAGCTGAAGGATGGACATGGCAGGAGATGCAGAGGGCCTGGTGGCAATATAATTTAGTGGTTAAGAAGAGAGGTTGAGAGGAAACTCAGCACTTACCAGCCATGTGCTAATAGCTGATTTTTTTGGAACCCCTCTAAGCCTCAGTTTCCTTAACATGGTGTCTAGCTGTAGCAATTATCTATTGCTGCATAACAAATTATCCCAAAACATAACAGCTTAAAACAACATTTATTAATTCTCACAGTTTCTGTGGGTCTGTGAAATCTGGGCCCTGGCTTAGCTGGGTTCTCTGCTTAGCTGGGTCCTCTGCTTTGGGGTCTCTGACAAGCCTGCAATCAAAGTGTCAGCCAGGGCTGAGGTGTCATCTGAAGATTCGATTGGGGAAGGATCTGCTTCCAAGCTCACTTACAAGATTGCTGGCAGAATTCAGTTCCTTGCTGGCTGTTGGCCACAGAGGCTGCCCTCAGTTCCTTGCTATGTGAGCCTCCTCAACATAACAGCTTGCTTCGTCAAAGCCAGTGACAGAGTCTGCTAGCAAGACAGAAGTCATAATCTTGTGTAGCCTAATCATTGAAGTGACTTTTCATCACAATCACCACATTCTATTTGTTAGAAGTCACCAGGGGAGTCCACACTCCTGAGGTAGGGATTACACCAAGGGAGTGAACACCAAGGTATTATTAGAGAACATTTTAGAGTCTGCCTGCCTCACTAGTTTATAGTTTAGTACCACTAAATAAATGTGAACTATTATTATCATGCTGAGTTGAGAGATTAGGAAAAACTATGGGGGCCAGTCAAGGATTTTGGACCAGGGAGTGATGACCTTGGGCATGTCAAGTCACCCAATGTCTTTGAGCCTTCATATCATCGTCAGTAAAATTAAAATACCTGACCCCAGAAAAAATGCATATGTGTGAGCATAAATACATTTTTGTAACAGCAAATATACAACTCTCCACAGCCTGAGGAAACAAAATGCTTTGGGCCAATTTTCCATTTTGTGTTGACTCGGTGAATCTCAGTCTGTTATCTTCAAGTGTTTTAGTGTTTGACCCTGTGGGCCCATAAGAATTTGTGAAATTGGAATAAATCTCTACATAGACAAATCTCTTTTGGGATTCCTTTAAGGCATTTCCAAGGGTTTGTTTTTTCTTTTCTTTTAAATACCTTTGCTTCTAAGGACCCTACGGGGGGCCCCCAGAGAGAAAACAGACTATCTGGGAAATTTCAAGCTCTTGATAATAAGAATGGTAATAAAATCTCCTCCAGCTCCTGAGGCTTTGCAGAGGGGATGCCTCTGGTGGACGGGGTTCCTCCACACCCACGCAGCTGGTTTCGAGGTGGTGCGGTTTCCAGTGCTGCGGGGCAGCTCGGGTTACCGCCTCCGTGGCTGCTGGTTAGTGCAGCTCCGAAGGCCACAGGCAGTGGGCGAGTGAGACCAGGGCCGGCCCTCCTACCCGCCACCCCGGGCGCCTCGCCCATTTCTGCTTTGTGCCCACCCGGGAGGCCCCAACCCACGTCCTACGCGGAGCGGATCACACACAGTCGCGTTTCATGGTCGTCCCTGGTGAGGTTTTCCCTCAGGGAAAGGTAAACAGCACCGCTTGACCCGGACTGGCGGGCATGTTAGAGGGTGGCCAGTCCTCCCCGGCGGCCCGGGCCTTCGGGAGGGGGACGGAACTTAGGACTCAGCCTCCCGGGCTTTGCACAAAGGCGCGCTCCTCCGCAGGGCGTAGAAGCGGCCGACGACGCTGCGACAATGCCCCTTTGCTTCTCGGCCCAACGGCCGGGCCTCGAGGGCGAGGGGCGCCCGGGACCCCAGGGCAGGGCGCAAACCTCATGCCCTAACCCCAGCACCCCACCCTCGCTCCGCCAGCCTGCAGCCGCGCACGCCGCCGCGGGGTGTCCCCTTCGCGCTGAGGTCATCTCCCGCAGCGCCGCTGCCCTTGGACCTCGACGGGCAGCCCCGACGGGAGAGCGGGGTGGCTTAGGGAGCTCTTGGGGAGCGGAGGAGGAGGAGCAGCAGCAGCTCCGAGCAGCCCCGGCCAGGCGCTTCTACCTCGCCCGCCCCGCCGCTCCCGCGACCGCCGCCTTAGAGAACTTGTAACGAGAACCAGATGTGGCGGCCGCTGCCTGACTTTCTCAGAGCTGGCGATTGGTCCCGAGCGGAGGGCCGCA